CATTTTCACCTGCGGATGTCGTGACCTGACATTTTCACCTGCGGCTATGGTGACCTGACATTTTTGCCTGCGGCCATGGTGACCTGACATTCAAGGGGTCGCCATGCAGGCAATATTGTCTGAAAATGTTTTTGCTTTGAGTGAAAGGGAAGCAAAGTAGCAGGGACAGACTTGGTTTCTCTCTACCATCCCCTGACGTTGCGCTGTGAGGGGGCGGGGGGTGGGGAGGTCAAACTGATCCCCACCCGAGCGAAGGGTACTCAATCGTCCCCTCGGGTGCGTGTTAACACACTCCTCACACGCTCATACACTCATGTGTGCCCATCCGCAAGCATTTTACCCACACAAGACGATCCATCAAATGCGCGTTGCATGCGATGCAGAGTACATTCCCACTAACATGTCTGAGCATGTAAACACCTGCCCTTTCCGCGACACCTAGTATACCCCGTGAGAGTCGAGACTGTTTGTGTTCCCTTTCACATACTGGAATTTAATTTCGCCAGTCGCTGAGTCTCCTCTGTGCGGACACCTACACAGCTTTTCTGCGGCGCCACATCGCAATGGCTTCTTGTGGCGCCCCATTGACAAACGCCCTCGGGTGATTTGACCTGGGGACACAGTAGCCGTTCCGGTGAGCCGGTGCTGTGGCCCACGCGGGTGCTCGATCGCCGCCGGGCAGCGCCGCCCACCGCTGGGCTCCGGGGACAGGGCGGCCGCGGGTCATGCCTCACTGTCGCGGCCGGGACACACGGCTGCAGCACTGACCTTTGTCCGATCCCTTAATCTGCGAGCGCCCGGCCGGCCGGCCAGATGAATGACACCTCTGGCGGCTGCGGGATCACCTCTGGTCGCGTCGCGCTCCCTCGCGCTCAGCTCGCCCCCGACCGACGGCGGCCGGCCGGTCACCGCTCCCTGATTGTCCCGAAGATCAAGAGCGTCTTTTAACAGGCTCATCATGCTAATACCCAGCGGGGCGCGACCAGCACTGAGATGGGTTTCGGTCCAACGCGGCACAACTCGTTAAACACCTACCTAATGCAATCAGGACCGTGTTCGCGGCTCGCCGACTTATTAGCATTGGTGATGAGCGCGCCGCTGCTGCCAGCAGGCCGAGCACTCAATGGCTGAAGCCCCTGAGGAGCCATCTGAAATGTGTGAATTATGTTCTCATAGAGACACGGGTTGGGGGATGGGGGACGGGACGGGGGGGACACGCCCCCCTCCACCTTCGGATAGGAGGGGTAGTCTCCTTATCTCATGGGTCACCTCTCATGGACGGGAGGTGGTTGGATCACCACGTGCCTGAAAAACATGTGGATCATATGTTTTTTAAAAAGGTGAAGCTGATTACGCGAGGTTGTGCCTGCCTTTCATTGTGCCTCCGAGTGCGAATTTTTTTCGTACTCTCTGGTTTAATGGTACGGCACATAATCAGGTCAATCCATAACAGTTGAGCTTTGCTCAGACCCTGGTCAATTTACATGGCCGCAAGTACAGGTCGTATTTTACTAAAAAGATGTAATATACTTTCATATATTTATATGTTCCTTTCGCCTTCGTGGTTCGTGCTCGTGCGTTCGTCTTGCACGACAGCTTTGGAACGCAACTAGATATGACCCTGCAATTTCGGGCTTTTCTCTTTGGTTCATTGCACACCTGGAAGTAATTTTTGGCGTAAAAGTATCTGGCATGATGCTATCATTATGAAATATGTCCTTCGTTTATGCCAGCCTGAATGCGGGAAATTTGTATGGTAACTAGCACTCATGACGTTAACACATCCAATAAAATGTGGTAAAACCCAACCTAGTCGAATGCATTGTCATAATACCATTACCGCTATAACCAATTCGTCATCGAGGCCGTGACTGTCCTGCTCACAGGCGACAGCGACCAGTGGTGGAGTTCTCGGTCACGGCAGACGCGCAGGACATCGGTCTGGTCAGCGTTCGGTCCAGCACCAGCCGAACCACCATCATGGTCGGCTGGCTGAGAACGGCGCGTCTGTCCATCTGAGGCCGAAGGAGCTGCCGGCTCAGAGCGCGCAGGAACCGCATCCGATCTCCATGCGTGACGTCACAGCGCTGGGATGAGGGGCATGTCAGGCAGTGCAGGGCGAAGGCGCTGAGACCGGCGATGAATGTCAGGTACATGAGGATTCTTGTGGTACACGGCCTCATGGCCGTCTGGCAGATGGGGCTCTCGATGATGGCGTTGCACACGTCAATACCGCCCTTTGTGCTGCTGTAGTAGAGTACCACCACCGGCTTGCCGTCCTAACATCGACGAGCGGGAACCGGTACTGCGATGACGCGACCAGCACCACGTTCTTGGCCTTGGGGCAGTAGGACACCAGCTGGACGGCGTGACGGGGGCAGATGATGCTGATGCCGGGCTGGCGGCCGTCAGCAGTCGTCAGCTCCTGGGAGGTGGCACCCGTCCCGCGTGGAGAGTGTCAACCCCACTGAGTCCCAGCTCGGCACGCCACTCCTCCACCAACTGGATGGGCGTCAAGTACCTGTGGGGAAACAGGGCATTTTAAGAGCATGCTAATTGTCCTTCCTTTTATGGATTATATGAATTACCTAACATAACAAAGATTAGCGAGGGCAGTGTGTAAATGGTGAACGCTTGATCTCTATTCTGTAATAGGATACTGACATCAAAATTATTCGTAGGAAAATGGCCAAAAAATACATACACCGACACCATATTTTACATCCATGTTCAATTATCAACTGCGCTCGAGTCGTGCTAGGATGATGCTGACCTGTCCATGGAGACGTTCCGTCCAGTCCTGGTACAGCCGTTCACCAGGTGGCGAGCACCAGCTCCGGTACGGTGGCGAGCACCAGCTCCCGTACGGTGGCGAGCACCAGCTCCCGTACGGTGGCGAGCACCAGCTCCGGTACGGTGGCGAGCACCAGCTCCCGTACGGTGGCGAGCACCAGCTCCGGTACGGTGACGAGCACCAGCTCCGGTACGGTGGCGAGCACCAGCTCCCGTACGGTGGCGAGCACCAGCTCCCGTACGGTGGCGAGTACCACGCCGGGCGGTGCCGGGTCAGGCTGGGCCGGCCGGCCGGTGCACGGCCATATCGCCAGGATGTAGCGGTTGTTCGCGTCAGTGTCGCACGGATCAGCAGGGCGTACCGACTAGACTTGCTCGGCATGTAGACGCGCAAAGGACGGCGTGCACGAAACTTCACGAGTGTCTCGTCGATGGTGAAGCACTCGCTCGAGGGAAGTGCCGACGCGGGCTGGCATCGACGGCGTCACACAAGGGACGACCTCACCAGCCAGACGGAAGCGGTCTGTCGTTCGCCGTTCCTCCCAGCGTCTCGGGAACTGAAGTGGTCCGCAGGCGTCTTAAAAAGCTGGTCAGCCATTACCATGTACAGGATGCTGCAATACACAATCCTGGCGGCGCTTATTCTTCACCATTTGTCTTTAAAACCATGATGACAAATTGGTGAAAAACTGTAGACAATCAGATGGCCTTGGTATGCGCGCTAATGACAACAGTTCAATGACCATGGATGAACTCATACGACTTTGCATGTCCTTAACATGGCCCCTTGTGACTACAGTATACATTAGAATGACATCG